CCTTTACCAAGTCCCATTTTAGGCCCTTTTCTTTTTATTTTCCTTATTTTAATTTTGAAAAAACCCAAAAATCATTTTAAACAACTTCTTAAATTTTTATCATTTTGTTTTAGGAAATGAGGCATGACACCCTTCCCTTCCCTCCCTTCCCTCCCTTCCCTTCTGTTTCAGATATGTATGGGGGTACCACTAGTCTACTAGTACTAGTAATTAGGATTTAACCTTGGACTATGTGATAAGGAAGAGTATAGGAGGATATGATATGTCTACAAATTCCCCTCCTTTTTTTTTCATTTTCATCTTCCCCTCCTTCCCAGTTTCTAATCTTCTCCTCCGGTGCCTTGCTTTCTCCATGTGTCTTTCCATTTATTCTGTATTTTCTTTATTGCTTTTTTGATTTCGCAGCAATCATTTTTCTTATAATCTGTCCTTTAGCAGTGACAGAAGATTCTTTTCATGTGCTCTTAGTATTAGTTAACGAGTTCCTTATAGAAACTAGTACTACCACTGCCTTCCGCTTAAGCAAATTATTTTCCTGTTTTATTCTTCTTTTGATTCTATGTTGTTGCTTAACGCTTTTGATACCAAAATTAAGGTTCATGAATGAATGCGTCAAGGATTCACCTTGAGAAGTGCGAGGATATGTTTCCTTCAATCCTCTTAAATATGTGCAATTATCACTTTTTCCTTTTTTTTTTGTGTTTTCTTCCCCTTTTCCTTGGGTATATTGCTGTCCAACTTTGCATCATTTGCTGCATTGGTTGATCATTGGAGTTCTTGGGTTGGGAAAATAGCTTGAAGATAGTTATATTTTGTATCTGCTCACACATTTAATGTCGTGGCTGTTTTCAATATTGTGATCTCTCCTATAACGGAATATAGTAATTTAAGTTAAAAACTTCCTATTCGTATCAAAACTCTAATGTGTTCGATTCACGACCTACAGGAAGTTGTTGTTCCCGTGGTGCAAGGAAAAATCAGGCATACTTGTGAAAGTGTGACATTGGAACAGTTTATGGAGTCTCCACTGTTGAAACCAATGGTTACTTTATCTGGAACTGCCGAAGAAGGTGCCGTTGGACCTCCTCTAGGTTTGGTTGACATAGGTATCTGTGAAAGTGCCTATCTTTTTCGTGTTGCCCTTCCTGGTGTTAGGGGTAGCGAGAGTAAGTTATCCAACTTCAGCTAGTCTCTTCCCTAAATTGTTTTGCTCAGGATTTGGATAGATACCGATAAAGCTCTAGCACACATTTAGCTCCACATACCAGCTGAAAAAATAGTGGATTGTTGTGGCTAGACTTAAAAGTTTGCCACATGACCACCAGAGAAGCTTGTATAGTAAGGGAAAAAAATGAAAGAAACTACTGTGACTAAGTAGACAGCCTTCAGAATGCATCCATACATTAATCATCTGGCCTTCTCAACATGGTGAAGATCATTTTCAATTTTTAAAGCTTTAGGTAGTAAATCATCAACAAACATATGCACTCAACGAAATATGTCCTGCTGCATGAGCTGTATTTCCATTCTGCTCTTGTTAGGGTCTCTGCTTAGCACTCCATGGGTATTAACTTGGCTTTGTGATTTGAGAACTCTGGCTGACCTGTGCATTTAAATCATTAAATAGAAAATCAACTTTTGTCTTTAGTTTCTATATATATCATTTTATCTATATCTACGCTCATCTCATAGCTTCAACTTCCTATTCTGTTCTTATCTTTTTCCTTGCATGCCTGCTCTGAAATTTCTAACTGCCATGGGATCCTGTATTTTTCATCATCAAATTCTAGTATCTTTGGACATCAAAACCTTTTATTATTGAATTTTAAGAGCTAAATTTGCTGGCATTGATTTCCATCTGCAGTGACTGTGAATTTAAAATGGGAAAAAGATTCTCCGTCTGGACGTTAAGCTAGTCATTGATGTCTCCTAATAATGACAGGAAATTCATTGGATTATCCCCTACATGGTTTTCAACTGCATTCTCTAAATGTCCTTCGTTACAAATGTTGTCAAAGAGCTGTGGTTTACACATTCTTAAAGATGCATAGCATGTGCAAATTTCTCTCCTCTATACCAATAGCTGATTGTTTTAATATGTAGATACATTCTTTATGGTAGTCTCTAGGATAAAAAGGCTCCTGGCTGCCTTTCTTGTGACTGATGAATAATTCCAAAATATTTTGCATGCATTTAACCTGTAAAGGGTCTGTTTCCAAGAGCAGGAGACTAAAATGCAAAAGTTACAAATCATTATTCAACATACAACATCAATGCAGGTAAGTTGAAATGCAACATACAACTCAATGGACGGGTTCACATAGAGGGAGTGATTACCGAGTCTCAATTCATGAAGAATTGTTCTAAGGTGTTTGAAATGAAAGTGCAGCAGCTTTGTCCTACTGGGCCTTTCAGTGTCTCTTTCAATTTGCCTGGACCTGTAGACCCAAGGTTATGCTCTTTTTCTTTCAAGGCAGGTGGTATTTTAGAGGTGGTTGTACTGAAGTTCAGAATACCACATCTATCAGCAGAAGGCTGGTTTGAAAAATGGTATGATTGCTGGTCCTTTCCTTGATGAGCGTTTCCAGACCTGATTAATTTCTGGAAGTTATTCCTTTTCGTTCGCAGAAGGAAAGACTAAATCTTTTTTGTTGCTTCATTGTTTTTTGTGCTAGTGAAAAACAAGTATTTGATATCAGTAGAGCGAAAATTGGCCATATGTTACCTTCCTTGTGACCTTATAACTGGTTACTATAACATGAATTCGCAGGCTGATCTGGTTATTGTAACGCTGAAGCATCTGTTCAGTTAGCCGATTCATTATATTAAATCTTGTTGGTGCAGCGTTTTGTTTAATTTAAACAGCCCATCATTTGATTTCACTTGGAATTGAGTACTGCTTAGAATTTAGACTTCTCAAAATTATTACTCAATAAGACCCGCATTACATTTGTCTTTTTGTTTTTTTTTTTTTTTTAATTTGTCAAAACTCGTTAACATCTGCATTAGAAACCAATATAGTCTGTACATCTAGAGCCACTGCTCTCTTACATCCGCTTGAGCTGCCTGTAGCAGCCAAGCTGGAAAGTTTCCTTCCTATTCAATCTCACTCAAACACTTAACAGCAAACCTTGCTAAACCATGTCTAACACAGTTGTTTTCTCTTTTGGTGAAAGATACAACATTTATCAAAACAGCTTTTTAGTTTCCTTGTATCATTTGGAACAGTTGATGTCAAAATGTCTTCTGCTGAATTTTCTTTCACCTTATTTGTTATCATCTTGCAGTTAGCCTTGAATTCCACTTTCTTCCATCCTTTCCTTTTTGCTTGCATCATTGCTTCCCTGATTGCTAATGCTTCCTCCAGTCTAGCCTCACTACAGTTGCTCCTTGGGAATACTCAGGTGATTAACACCTTACCATTGCTATCTCTCGCCACTGCTACCACTCTACTTTGTTCATCTTCTGGTTCAAAGCCACATCTGTGTTCACGTTAATCCAGCCTCTTTGAGGAGGAACCCACCTGAGATCCTGTTCTCTTGCTATCGTTGTCTGTTCCTGATTCTCCTTGTCTTCCTTTTGCACCTGCTGGAATTCTAACCACTCACATACTGCTTTTGTTTACCACCTGCACAGGATTCCATTCTTGATTCTTGCATGTTACTCCATTCCTGGCCTTCCAAATCTGCCACATTAAGAGTTTTCTGGATGACTAAAAACGATAACTAAAGAATGGATTGTGGAATAGAATCTCTCTCTAAAATGACGAACCAATAGATTTGAATAATTGAGCTTACTTTTTCTTGATTCATGAGGAGGGAAGTGGGGGAGGATTGTAATCAGGAGGTTTTGGGTTCATGATCTCCCGCTTACGTAGAAAAAGAAAAAAGTTCATGGTTTGAAAGGCACATTCATACTAGTCTCCTTTCCCCTCTTGTTTTCTTATCTTTTGCATGGATTAAGCTTAAGTCAGAAAACTGTACTTGTGAGCGATATACCAGGCTTCTCTGCTTAATATCGCATTACATTCATGAATTTAGCAATAACTAGTTAGCTGATGCTCACTAATCAGTGGCCTTTCCAGTCCTCAACTACTGCCTAAAGAAAATGCTTAGGAGCAATAAGTGAGCCCGCTGAGGCTTAACTCATAACACTAGTTCATGTCTAAGTAGTAAAAATCCAATATCTTTTAGAATAGTAGACTTTTGTGCTTGGATAGTAGACTTTTTTTAGAATAATATTGTAGCACTTTTAATCAGGTTTAGAGCAGTAGCTAATATATATCTATTTGTGTGTGTGAAAATGTTAGGGAAAATCGCCAATTTAGTCCCTAAACTTTTTTTTTCCGTCAATTTAGTCCCTATACATTATTTATAGCCAATTTAATCCCTAAACTTATATTTCGATTCCAATCAAGGAACTTAGCGGCGGCGCCACCTCATAATTTCCATCGGCTTCCAGATCTAGGAACCCAGAAGGGGTATTTTAGGGACTTCCATATTTTTCATATTTCCCTTTGACTTTCATCTTATTTCTATATGGTCTTCACCTTCAACGACACCTCCCTCTCCTCTATCACATCAGAGCGTCTACTCCGGGCTATGCAGAGCGTCTACTCCGTCCTCTGCTCCCTCAACCTCCAGGACAAGGTCTCCATCACCACTGCCCACTCCCTCGCCGTCCTCCAGACCTCCTACCTCCCCTTCGCCTGCAGGTTCCACCCGGACCTCACCCCCTGCTTGACTGCCATCCTCAACTTCCATCTCAAGACCGGCTCCCCTTTCCTCATCAATGCCTACCCCTACTTCGCCTACAAGGCCAACCCCAAGCAGGTCCCTCTGGAGTTCGTCCTTTTCCAGCCCAACTCCGGGATCGTCGATCCCGCCACCCCTACTGTATTTATTCCAGTGTAAACAATTATAATAAACCCCAGTTTCCTCGAAACTTTGTAAAAAAATTAAAGAATTTCCATCTTTGCCTCCTCATCATCGGGATGAATTATGCAGAGTTATCTCCTTCAAAAGCTTGTTAAAGTGCTGGGAAGAAGATCAATGGGGTGCGTGCCATAGCTGCTTTGGCATTGTATAATGTATAGTTCTAATATATAGTATATCCAAAGCCTTACTCATCATTACGCACCACATACAATTTGTCTGGTGCTCAGCGAAGAAGGGCCGGCTTAGATTATGGGCGCACCAACTACGAATGCTTTGCAAAGTTGAATTCCTTCAGGATTCCGCTATAGGAAACCCGCAAGCGGGTTTCAGGCTATTTAACAAATTACTTAAAAAAAAAATTTTTTTTTACATGCAAGCTGCGTTGAGTTGCACATGCCCATCGGAGGGCCCTAGGATGCCCAGCAAACCTCCCCTCTCATCCTCACCCTTCAGGTGAGGGTTTGAGAGTATGTGTTTGATATAAATAGAACAGAAACGCAGCTTTTAGTCATTTTACATAAGGGGGAAACCCGCAAGCGGGTTTCAGGCAGGCTATTTAACAAATTACTTAAAAAAAAAAAAAAATTTACATGCAAGCTGCGTTCTTCAAAAGGGTATTTTCGTCTATTCACTCAGGAAACCCGCAAGCGGGTTTCAGGCAGGCTATTTAACAAATTACTTAAAAAAAAAATAAATTTACATGCAAGCTGCGTTCTTCAAAAGGGTATTTTCGAGACCGGCTGGCCCTCCAAGGGGGACACCGACGAGGCCGGAGCCACTCCGGAGAATGCCAAGAAGTACAACGGCAACCTCATCAACAAGCTGGTGTGCGGGAAGAAGGGGACGCCCATGAGGCCCAACGCCGACTTGAACATCTATGTCTTCGCCCTTTTCAACGAGAACATGAAGTCCAGCCCAACCTCCGAGAGGAACTACGGCCTCTTCAAGCCGGATGACTCCTCGGCCTACTACATTGGCTTCAACAGCACCGGTCTCCTTTCCACTTCCTCCAATACCTCCACTACTCCTAGTAGTACTGGTAGTAGCAGCAGCAGCAGTAGTAGTGTTCCTCTTGGCTCCTCCTCCTCCTCCGGTAGCACCACTTCTTCCACAGCAGTAGTAGTATCATAAGATGAAAGTCAAAGAGAAATATGAAAAATATGGAAGTCCCTAAAATACCCCTTTTGGGTTCCTAGATTTGGAAGCCGATGGAAATTATGCGGTGGCGCCGCCGCTAAGCTCCTTGATTGGAATCGAAATATAAGTTTAGGGATTAAATTGGCTATAAATAATGTATAGGGACTAAATTGACGGAAAAAAAAAGTTTAAGGACTAAATTGGCGATTTTCCCAAAATGTTAACTAAATTTCAAGCCTTAGTTTCGTTGATCTTAAGGCTAAGCGATCAGAAGCCTATCGTCATCGTGCAATGAATTGGGTCAATTTCTAAACTAGGGTCAATGGGATCAGCCCATTATCTTCTCAAATCAAAATTGTTGAGCTTCCGATTACTCTGGTTTCTTCTATAGTACAACAAAAGCAAAAAAAAATTATCAACATTCTTCGTCTGACAACAAAGTTTCAACACTCTCGGATCGACAATTCCTTTCGATGTATGGTATAAGAAAAAAAATTGAAAGATTTCATCACTCGTTCAAGATCAAGGTCCAAATCAATCTTTGAATCGTTAATGATTGATTGAGTTGGGAATTCTTAAGCTTATAATTGATGCTAAAACAATTAAGAGTCATAATCCACTTATTTTAAATAAAAAAATAATGGGGCGGTACCCGCAAGAAAGTAACGGGGCAAGGTACGAGATGGGCGCAAGGGTAAGGATAGGGGGATTTTTCTCCCCTAACCTTAAATGGGACGGGAAGTATACCCACAACCTATAATTGCCTAATTTAATGAAAAAAAATTCATATATGTATAATTATGGTATACACATTAGAGAACCTAATAACCATAAACTATTTTAATTTGACTAAAACACTTCAGTGGTTATATACATATGCAATCTTAATTAGTTCTATATAATATTTTATACTAATGCTAAGGGCACACTCAATATGTGTGCAATTCAATATTAATTAAAATGAATTATTTTTAAATATATTTTTTCTTTTACTTAAATCAAATTGATATAAAATTTCATTAAAGAATTTTGGTTTATAATGTTACAGTAAATTGATAGTTAGATTAGAGTGGTTACAAGTAAGTTATAATGGCAAAAATATGATAAAGGTAAAAAGTAATTCTTTATAAGGATAAAATTGGAAGTTCATAAGATGACCAAATTATTTACACCATCTACCACTCCTCTGGATTTATATATTGTACAGATGTCCCTAATTTTGTTAATATTTTTAAAACACAAAAAAAAACCATATATGAATCAGGAACTAAGAACCTAACTTTCTTCCTCTTTTATCTCCCTTTCCTTTTTGCCGCCCATCAAAGCCTCCCCTCCCATTTCAAAAGCTCAACCTATCAGTTTGCCCTATCTAAATGGCTCAACCTTCCCTTCCTATCTCAGTGCTTCAGCCTCCTAGAACCAGTGCAGTCAAAATTTATCAACCAAAGGAACTCGACGCTTTAATGGAGACTAAAGAGAGCTCCCCCTTCATGTAACTCTAAAAGGATGTTCTTCCAAAAAAAAGAAAAAAAAAGAAATGCCATGCATTAGCACCAGTAGGCCATGGGGAAGCGAGGCAGGTAAAAACCGGGAATGGAGGGTAACTTATCTTGTCTTATCTTATGAATGGTGTAATCAATTGATTTGCAGCAGTTTCATTGTGATTCTATGGATTATTTTGTCCTTTAAAGTCTTTTAAACCTTATCAGCACTTTATGGGGCCTCTTTTGCCTATTTTACAATTTTTTCCCAGAGAGTAGCATAGCATTGTATTGCAAATAAAGACCAAAGTTTACATACTCTGAGCAACTGCTGTTATATCATTCTCAGCTGAACATGTTAACCAAGAAGGGAAAGAAACTTTCCAGAAAACATCACTACTAAGCTTAAGGCAAATTTTGCTAAACTATGACTAAAAAAGTTACCTTCTCTTTTAATAAAGGAGAAAGAACATTGACAAAACGACTTTCCAAGTAGTTCAATGTCTTCAATTATGGTCCAATTTTCGCATCTTATGTGCTTTCATCTAGGATTCTATTCATTGCCACCTTACAATCAGATTGTGCCTCAATCTTTCTCCACCATTCTTGTTTTGCTTCTTCAACTAGCGGCTCATTACATCTCAGTTCAACCCCAGCCCAAACACTTCTAATTACTACATCCCTCATCCTTGCAACTATTCCCCAACTTGCTCTTCCTTTTCTTTTGTCCAAAGCAGCATCAGTGTTTAGATTTACAATAATTATTGGAGTGATTTAGATTTGCCCATTAATGATTGAGATTGAATTTACGTCTTATTTAAGTAGGTCACTAATAGCGATCCAAATCTGTCAATTAATACCCATTAATCAATGGGTTTAATTGGCTCACCCATTTAAATCCAATTAAATTACATACACAAACCCATTTGTTAATGGACGAGTCAAGTGAATAGGTTAACATTTATAGTAATAAATAGATGAAAATAATAGTAGGATAGGAGACAGGTGGGTTACAGCACTGGATAAGAGATAAGGTAAGTGGGTGAAGGGGGTAGAGCAAAAATAAAGTAGGATTTGAGGGAGCAAGAAAGGATTGTAGGAATGTGAAAAAGTTAGCTTAAGAAGGTGAGAAAGAGAGCAGTAGAAAGTAAGGGGAGTATTGAGAAGAGGGGGTTGTCGAGGGGAAAAGGTGGCACAAAAAGGGAAAATATGGGAGAAAGGGATAATAATGTTGTGTCTGGTATTCTTTTTTTTTTTTTGTGATTTTTCCATACTTTTTAGTATATTTTAAGGTTTTAGATAAGATGCAAGTCTAGAATAAATCTCTCCTCCTTCTCTTCAGAAAAAGCTTTCTAACTAAAACTCTCTTCATTTGTGTGAATAAAATCTCTCTTATAGTTTCTTTTCACCATGCGAGGAGCTCTCTTTATAGTTTCTTTTCATTTGTGCAAATAAAATCTCTCCTAAGATTTTCTAGTAAGAGTTTCTTCTCTCCTTAGGGTTGTCTGGTGAGAGTTTTCTTCTCTCCTAAATTTTTTTAGTGAGAGTTTTATTCTTTTCTAGGAATTCCTAGTGAGAGTTTTTGATAATTTTTTCACTTTTCTTATAGTAGATTTGAGTTTTTTTAGATTTTGATTAGAAGATCTAGAATTTTTTGAATCTATTCAGTAGATCTCACCATAATATCTGAACTTAAGCAGTTAATCAACAAATTTGGCAATTAGAAACATGTACAAATGTCCGTGGAGTTACAATTATTTCATCCCTTTTTTAAATTAGGAGATTTATAATGTAATTTTTATTGTTTTTCAGATCTAGGGTATCCTTTCTTCAAATGTGTTCTTTGATATCTATATATGTTTGATGGTGTAATTTCTACTATTAATGTAGATTTTAATGAAATTATAATATTTTATATAAAAAAAAGATAAGATGCATAAATACGATATAAAATAGATACTCAAATAATACTCTTTTGAGTTTTTAATCTTTTTTCATGTAACTATTACAAATAATTCTTTTATCATCATCATCATCATCATCTTAGATATAGACCGTTGTGTAGCAAGGGTCAAAATGCTAGTTATACACTACAAACTATTCGCCAGTTAATATATTCTAAAACATTTCCAATAGAATAACATGCATCATTCTCAAGATTTTTGGATTATTGATTCTTTAATAGGCTTGATTAATGTTATCTAATGCTTATCTATTAATTTAGTTCAAATATTTAAAATTGATAAGAAAAGGTTTGGTTAAACTAACTTACAAAAAAAAATTATCAAAAAGCTTGTTGATTTGTTAGTTTAGTTGAAATGTTTAAATGACTAGGGTTAAACTTTGTTAAAAAGCTGTCTAAGTAAAATTTACCTTAACATTTGCTATAGATAGTAAAAATCGTAGCTAAACTAACTTATCAATAAGTCTTCCTAATCTACTTATTTATCAGTTGAGATATTTTAGAAGTTTTCTTACTAACAATTAGTATGTGTTTTATAATCTTGTTTTAATATTCCAAAAATTTTTAACTCATCACTTAACATTCCGCCATACCAGACATGTTATGTTATATAAGGCTAACATACCCAATTTTGATATAATTCCACTATCCAAATTTTAATCGAACTATTAATGCTTGTAATTGTTTACCTTCTTCGCTTCAAGATTTTGATATATGTGATTGTTATCTTATCAATTTGATTGTATGTTTTCTTGAAACCTCACTAAGCTTAACTCATCCCATTATTTGCTTTCCTTAACAAGGTGCGGGCATGAGAGAGACGGGAATAGAAATAGTTTGTAATAGGAAATTTGGATCTTATATTTGGTTGACATACTGTATTATGGAATTAGTCGTTTAAACTCTTCTCTTTTGGCATATACTTTAATTTGAATAGTTGGACGATTTGTAGCATATAAATGTTATATTGAAGGACTTTAGTGTTATTGATTGAGACTTGTAGTGAATCTTGACGAGAGTCAGACAGGCGGTCCGCTAACCTCTGGATTACACCCTAGGGGAGGTGGGGTCTTCATAGATTTCCCCTTGTTACATGAGATCAAACTCTCCATCTATACTTTTCAATCTTCATCCAAGTTTAGCTATACACAAAAAAGGATGAATTAACTAAGTAAATTATCCAATACTACCCTCAACATAGAGTTAAGAAACTAGGTAAGAACTACATTTTTGTGGTGTTTTCTTGCACCTCCTAATCTCTCCTAAAATCAAAGATTCAAACTCTATTTATAGAGAAATCTTCAAGCCCTTTTCTTGTATCTTTAATGTGAACATTGCTCCAATTAATCAAGAATTTTGGTTTCCAAGATAAAGCTCATCATTATAAAAGAATATAAGGCCAAGAATTATTGCTAGAAGCTCCACTTTATAACTACAAATCTTATATAAAATGTCCCTCAAAAGGTGTGAAATGATAGAGTTGAAAGCAAGTTGCACACGAGTTGAAATCGCAAAGTTTAACCAGAATCCCTCTAACAATCCCTCCTGACCAGATTCTAGGAGGGATTCATCCCTTGTTTTATCAAAAATTTCTGCTCGAATCCCTCCAAAGACTGGCCGGATTCTCGGAGGGATTCGAACCAATTTTCTTTTTGGACAAGTTTTGTTGTTTCTTATTTTGTGACTTGAACCACGTTTGAACTCGTCATCCTTGCAAACTTTAGAATTTCAATCAATATAATGCAAGCTCATTTCTTGTCCAAAATGAAGTCC